TAAATAAAATATTTTAAAAACAAAAAGAGAATCAAAGAATCATCCATATCAACCTCAATCTTTTCATAGAGCCCCTTAATATAGTATAATGTTAATATTTCAAATTATCAAATATTCAAGAGTTATTAAAACACATTAAAAATATAAAAGTAATAAAAAAAAAAAAAATATAAGATAAACTAAAGATATAATAAGAAAGCAAAACTTAATTTTACAATTACAAAGATATTTTGCAATAACTTTATTGCAATTTTACGTATTCAAAGAAACAAATACAAACATATGCAAAAGGATTTAATAATTAATACATTAAAAGAAACTTATATCATTAGTAACTACTAAGAATAATAAGTAAAATTCACTTAAATAAATTTAAAAAGTTGATTTGGAATTATTACTCCACAAAATTAAAAATGTGTTTTTTTGCATGAAACTTAAGGTGGTACTAGCCCATAAAAATTAAAACAGTCAATTTATTTAATTTTGATGCAATATTTTTTTAAAACTGTGTGTATTAAAAAATTATTTAGAGTAAATATAATAAAAAGTATAACTATACTTAAAAACATGCTGAGTCAGCAAAAAATATGCAATTTTAACTAGGAAGAGTTTGAGGCTAAAATTTAGCAAAAAGGTTAACAACATGTTGATTGAAGGATTTGACCAGAATCACCATCAGAACTTTTACCAAACCAAAATGGCTGCACTTTAAAAAATAATTTTTAACTTTTATGTAAAATTTATGTCAATATCTTGACAACAGCTAACTATGAAATTCTCTTTTTGGTCAAATCCCTTCACAGTAACCCGATGAACAATCTGTGAAAATTTTAGCCATAATCTTCAAGTAGTTCAAAAGATATTCTTGTTCAAAGTTTAAAAATCTGTTAACAGAGAAAACACAAGAAAACAAAATAAAACAACATTAACAAAATATATCTTTCAAAATTTCCAGACAGAGTCATCCTTGCTAAATCCTTTTCTTATACCTCTCATTTTTTTCCTCCTTGATTTAGTCACTTCTTTTTCCTTCCTTTCCATATGAATGATGCGATTTATGTTTTTTTTAATTGCACCAAAAAGAAATTATTTTTCACAATGAAATGCAAGTTGTTGAAATGTTTCTTTATGCGAAACGTAACATACATTAAAAGATATAACTGCTGAGAAAACAGCTAACTCTAAAACCCTTTTTGAAATAAAATGTGTTTTGGGGCATTTTCCCCAGATTATTTGATTAAAAGACTCGTTAGGATTTTGGGTATAGCTGTGTTAACATTTTGACAAAAGATTGTCAGAACTAACTTTAAAATTAACCGTCTTTCACTAAATGTAGATAAAACTAAATTCATCCTGTTCCACAAACCAAATAAAGTTGATAATATTCCGCTTAAATTGCCAAATCTTTTATTCAATAAAACAGATGTAAAAAGGGAATCTACTGTTAACTTTTTAGGCGTAATTCTTGATGAAACCTTGTCATGGAAGTTTCACATTCAATCTATTGAAAGTAAAATCTCTCATAATATTTTTGTACTTTATAAAACAAAACCATTTTTAAAGGCAAAAGCTCTAATGAAAATTTATTTTTCATTTATTCACAGCTATCTTTCTTACTGCAACATTGCATGGGAAAGTACGAATTTTGGAAAACTCAAAAAACTTTATAGTAAACAAAAGCATGGTTGTAGGATTGTATTTGGGGCAAACAGAACTGTTTATTGCGAACCGCTATTAAATCGTCTTAAGGCCTTAAACATTTATAAACTAAACATTTACCAAACATTACTTTTCATGTTAAAAATGAAACACGGAATATCTCCACTTATATTTCAATACTATTTTAGCGAAATATCTCATAAGTATCCAACAATGTTTTCAGAGGATAACTTTATTGTTCCGAGAATTAATTTAAAAATAAGTTTTTATTAAAAACTTTATAATTTTAAAAAAAAAAAAAAAAATTTAAAAAAAAAAAAAAATTTTAAAAAAAAAGGAAAAATTTTATTAAAAACTTTAATAAAGAACACTACTCTTTAGAAAAATTTAAAACAGTTTCTAAAAGAATCTTACTTCAATTAGATTTTAATTCAATAGACTTTAAATACTTTTTTTTAAAGATAATTTTAAAATAGAAAAAACGCTTCCATTAGCACTAAATATATTTTGTTATATGTATCAAATATATCTGTATTAGTATACAAAACTTTCTTTATTTTTAATATAATTGTCATTTAATTATTTGAAAAAAGTTATGTACTCTTTAACGTTTTTTTGTATATTTAATTCATACTTGTTTATAAACACGGACAACTTGTAAACGGGGCTTGGTGATAAGACAGTAATTATCTTCTTCTTACTCCGGCCAATTTATATAAATGTAATATGTCTTTATTGTAAATATATGAAACGGCAAATAAAAAAAAAAAAAAAAAAAAAAGTTCCATAAATGTTGGATGTAATAGGTTTTTAATAGCAACTGGTAAGTTTAACTTGTTTTTATAAGTGCACTGGCCTGTAATCTTATCGCTTTGCCATTCGCACCAGCTAGTATTGGTTCTGGGACGAAATTGATGGCGCATAGCAGCATCACCTTCACAGCAATGCCATAAAACTGCAAGTACAGCTTTTTTCATAAGGTACAGTTTATCATTCTGAATAATAGTCATAGCAAAGTAATTCTGCATTAAATTAATACTTGCATCAGTAAGTCTTCTTTTACCTGAGAGAGTTTTACTGTCATGCAACTTTTCTTTTTTTTTTAATGAACGTAGATTCCGAAGTCTTGTTCCAAGTCTCTTTTGAACATGAGCGAGACACTCTAGTTTTTCTGGTATCAAAGTTTCTCCATAAAGTCTTGCTTCTCTAAGTTTCCTGTTTGCTGTAATGTCCCTATCTCCTATGTAATGACTGTACCTTAAGTTAAACTTACTTAATGAAAAACAAAAAATTGAAATAGCACCAGCGGACTCCATAGCACCCAATGATTCGTGATGATTAATTGCACACTTATGTCTTGTTTTTCAAGGTCATAACCAGCTGATCCTTTTCTTTTTGACCAAATCTCACAAGATTTACAAAAGTTGACATGGTGTAATAGTCTAAGACTTTTTATTATCCTTTGAAATTACAGATACCACGCCATTCAGAGAAGAATAACCCCTTTTTTTCCATGCCCAGTCAATAGAAATATGACCGTCAATAATTTCATTGCTACACGCATTGATGTTAAGCATTTGACGCACTTCATGAGCAGCTTTTTGGGTACTTTTTTCAGCAGATTTTTCTTATGCACAATAAAGATTCTTATTAGTTTTTTTATAAGAAGTAAATGCAATACAAAATGGCATATTCATCATTGTTGTAAATGTTTTAATACCAGCATGACCTTTACCTATCTCGCGAAAAGCCATAACTGCGCGATAGTTAATTTCATGTGCTTTTTTTACAAGTTTACTTTTTTGTAAAGATATGAATCGAGACATTTTATGTTGATTTCCATGAAAATAACTTTTTATTCTTTTGCTATTTTTTTTATTTGCCATCTAAGAATTTAGCAGTAAAATGTGAAAAATAAATGCAATAAATTCAATAAAATAATCATAACAAGTTGTTATTGATATGCTAATATAAGTTCACTTCCTTATCATTATACAATGCATTTTAAGTATTAAAAATTGAATTAACGTATTTGCAAAGTTGATGTAAAACAAAGTAGATATATATGAAATGTAGGATAATAATAAAAAATTAATTGTTTAATGAAATTTATGGAAAAATGGAAAATCAGCCCAAAAAGAAGCATTGTTTATTGCTACTATGCGGTTGCTAAGAGTTTCTTTTTAAGATCGTATTTCTAAATTAACATTTTCTGTCACTAAATTACTTAAAAACATAGTAAAACTATAGATTTTTGAAATCTACAATGATTCTATTTTTCAATTTTAGAAAAAAAAAAATCTGAAAATTTTAAAATTTGTTGGACGAATACCACCTTAAATAAGTTTAATGATTTTACCATATTTGCATTAGTTTTTTGAAAAGATTTCCATAACTTAGGTCCTCGATAAGCTATTGAATATTTTGTATATTTGTTTAATTTCCTTGGCAGTTTAAAAGATTTTGATCAATTTATTTTTAAAAAATCCTTTTCATTTAAATATTTCTCAAACTTAGAAATAAAATTAGCTGGAGTTTGGTTATTAAGATAATTTATATAAATTATACATGAAAGTTAGGTGCTGATAAAAATTTATTTCATTTACATTCATCATTTTCATAGTTCTCATTAAGGGTTTAGTATGCTCTCTTCATTTTTTCCAGTAAATAACTCTACGCACATGTTTGGGCAAACTATGTATTTTTTTAAGCTTTGATGGTTGTGTACTAGCCCACACTGTAAAACTTTACCGTGAATATCACGGTATTATACCGTTACCCATAAACGCCAGTACTATACCGTGATTTCACGGTACAGAAACGTAAAATATTTACGGTAGAATACCGTGAATTTATATTTGAATTCCCGTTTTTCTACCGTGAAACTTTTCCGTTTTTGTACCGTAAAATCACGGTAAAGTACTGGCGTTTATGGGTAACGGTATAATAACGGCCTTTTACTCCTTTTAGTCGGCGCACGGAAATTTTTAAAAAACCCTGTTTATTATATAAAGCAGCAATAACATCGTATTAAACGAGTAAGATCAAAACAATAATGACAAATTTATCTGACAGTGTGTCTAGATTAGTCAAAATATATTCATGTGTATACACAATCTATCAAACATAAAATAAAAAATCAAATAAAAACACGATATATGCATTTACACACTCTAATATATTATATTGTAATATATAATGTATTGAACTACATTACCAAAACAGCCATTATATATATATATATATATATATATATATATATATATATATATATATATATATATATATATATATATATATATATATATATATATATATATATATATATATATATATATATATATATATATATATATATATATATATATATATTTAAATGAAGCTAGCTAATTTCTGCATCATTTTTAACACAGTTCTATTGACAGTCATCGCCTTCTTTGTGCATCGCGACTTCGATCCCTTTTCAGGATTGATTCCAAAAAAAACACTAAAAGCAATGAAACAGAAATGATTTCAATTTCAAGTTAATATTTTTTATATTTATTCATAACTAATTTTTAATTGAAATTAAACTTTCTTAGCAAGTTTTATCTCAATTTTAGACACAATAATGAAAGAACAAAAATTTATCTTAAATAAAACATATATTTAAGTTATAAATATTAATTAAAATAAACAATATAATTATAAACAAATAAGAAAAATATATAATTATATAAAAAGATAATAATTTACCGCTGGCAAAATTCTAAAGTTTTTGATACTTCATTTGGATAAGGAATGTTGAATACATAATAACAAGCAAACAAACAACAAAATGCTTTCGTAAAATTTGTAATGTTCTCTACTATTGGAATACCGTCAACAAGTAGAACGAACCTTTTTGCTGTCAGCAATGCATCTCCTAAATAGAATAGATGCACAAAACGAAAGAACTTTAATTTAAGAAATAAATTTTTCAGTATCTTTCAGTAAACTTTTAAACTATGTTTGCAACTAAATAAAATATCATAATAAAAATTAACACAAATTGATTGAAGTATTGTATAAAAAACTATATATATAGTTCATTTAGTCTAAGCTGAGAAATAAATATTTTTAAACTACAGTTTAAAAATAAATTTAATTTAAAAATTATATGTACAAATAACAATATTAACTATTTTATATATGGTATACATACTTTTAAATAAATAAATTTATAACTGATACATACCTAAAACACACAAATGAGGAGTAAGAAGTTGACCACGTGGAACTTCAGACATGTCAGTTGTTTCCTATTGAAAATTTAAAGTAAAGCATTAATCGTATATATATATATATATATATATATATATATATATATATATATATATATATATATATATATATATATATATATATATATATATATTTGAAACTAAAAAACTATTAGAATTGCTTTTACTTAGTTGCATACAAAATCAAATATAGTATTACATAAACACACAGTTTAAATTGTGTGTGTGAAACTACATAAATATCATGTAATATCACAACTACTAGATTAATTTTATGCAACTAATTTATGAGACACATCCATACCTCATAGAATGCACTACCTGTATTATCAATATAGCTACGAAAAAATTGAAACACTGTTTATACATACATCCATCAACAAAAAAAGACAATGCAACTTTTCATCAAAAAGAAAGACCAATGCAGTCATCAAGCTAGGAGCCACAGGTAGATCAGAAGCAGTTGCAACTTTTAGCTCATCCATTGATTGCATAGCTTTTTTTATGTGTTCATTTGTAGATTTACAGTTTAACAAAAATGCTGCTAATTTTTGGTCAGCTAATGAAGTTGTTAATTTTTCAGTGGCTTTTAAGCCACCCATCAACACATCAAAGTGATTCAGTAATCCGCTCACCTACACATTATTATTGCATAACTATTCAATTATACATGTATTAAAAACTACATAATTATTAAAAACTACATAATTATTCAATTATATATACTCAATTATATACAGGTATTAAAAACTAAACTTACTAAAATCTACATAATTATTCAATTATACATGTATACTTATTCAATTATATAAGAAGTTATACAATTGAAAAACCTGTCAAAATGAAATGAAATTATTAGATGTAACAAAACAATTAAGTAACTATTTTGATGTTAGAATATGGAATTAAGATAAATAAAATAAAATCAAGTATTACCGTAAACAGCTCTGGAAACTGTTGCATCAATTCTGGGAGCAGAATTAAGTTCCCATTTATAGCACTTCGCTGCAAACTGTACAGTTTTTCAGCTGGAGTAGACTGTGAGCTAAGCAATCCTGTACATTCCCAATTGAGACATCCATAACTATCTCTCTTTCTATTCATAAAAGGATGTTTTTTTTCATCGTCTTGAGCAGATACCTTTTCTACTTCAAAATCCACTTCTGGCAAAGCACCACGTGGGCGCTGAAGATAATCATAACGATTGACTAATTGTAATGTCAGACTATCATGACCACTACCTATCAAATTACCATTGTATTCATCCTTCAATGCTTTTGGATATTTTAAAACAATTATGGATGCAATAATATCCAAGTGTTTTTTCAACGGCTTTAGACAAACTGATCTAACTTCGTCCAATACTATCCGCACCATTGCCGTTCTTTCTGTTGCACTAAGACGTTCACCGGATTCTAGTTTTTCAATCGTTTTCTTATCTATTTTTCCCCATGGTACATTAAACAACACCAATCAGAAGGTCCAAAATAATTTGATGCCGCTAAATTCAAATTCAATTTAATCAAAATAAAATACAACTTAACATGTAATCGGGAACAAACCATTCAAATAAGATTAAATAAAATAGTTATTATAAAATTTACATATAACAAAAAAAAAGTGATTATAAATATGTAAGTTACTTACCAGAAGATCCTTCTGCTGCTAAAATTTCAGTAGAAGAGCAGGGTATACATGGTGACGACAAAGTCATCAATGCTGGTGTCAACATGTTGGAATCAGCTGTAATGAAATGGTCACAATAATCACTAATAATGTTAACTATAATCAACTAAGAAACAAAAAATTAAGCTTGGCATAAATTTTTCATTAATAAAATGATGTACTTAAATAAAAAAATTATTTTTAAAATCATAAGATCATTGAACAAAATAATTTATTTTTCATACATTATAAAATATATACTTCCATTAAGAAAAAAACAACTTATGAATTACAATGACAATGATGAAACAAATTAATCAATGCTATAACACAAGCATGCATGATATACATCCTATGATAGTAACATTTTTACTTTGGATGGTTGGGTAGCAGTATGATATTGCATAATATATAACAATATATATTATGTTATATACTAAGTAATATCATACTGCTATACAACCATTTAAAGTAATATATTATATAATATATTATGTTATATACTATGTTATATCATACTGCTACACAACCATCCAAAGTAAAAAAAGTTTATATTACAAACAAAACTGTATATTTATATTTTTTCTAACACAAACTAAAACTAAAAAGTTTTGATCACCTACCCACATTATTTGATAACCATGATTGAAGTAGTTTTCGTTTTTGTATTGGTTTTAGGCCAAACAAGTCTTCAAATGTAACTAAATGAAGATCTGCTTGAGTCTCCACTCCAACATCTAGCTCCAAACTAGTTGCAAGTTGCTCTAATAAAGTTGCATCTATAGATGGCAGGATTCTAATGATGCTGGTTTTAATAAATTCCATCACCTACACAAACAAAAAACACTGTTAACTCTGTAATGATTTAATCCTATATAAGAGAATAGCGCAAATGTATCAGGGGTTAATTAGGTTAATTAATAAATTATCAGGGTTAATTTATAAATTAGGGTAATCAGTCAGTTTAAAAAACAGAAGAGATTTTTTAACATTATTGTTATCATGACTATTTAAAAATTTAAAACTAGAAACATTTAAAAAAATTAATAGTTGAAATTTTAAACAAAATATTTTATAAAAATAAAACATTAAAAAAAAAAAAATGATTTGAACTAATATTTATTAAATTATTATTTATCTGTTCTCAAATCTTGACACTGAACATGACACTGCATGTTTAAGTGAAACCATTTTTCGATGCTGGTATATGTAAGCTGGTAACGGCAGATAGTCAATTAAGCATGGCAGTGCAAGACATATAATTTTATCTGTAGAACCAAATATTTCATATAAACCAAGTTCATGGACAAACTCAGTCTTTTGAATTGCGACAATAACCCGAGGAATGCTACAGCTTGGATCTATAAAAGTAACTATTATTTTTCCAAAAATTGGAAACTCATAATCTTTTGAAAACTCACACAATAAAAAGAGATTTTTCTTGTAATGTGTGCCACGAAAAACAACATGCGTTGAAACATCATGCGGAAACTGACCACATGTATTTAATATTAAACTGTTTATTAAAGAATTGAAATTTGTTCCATTATACAAGAAGGAATCAATAGAAAAATAGTCCTGGGTTGTAATGCTTGAATTGTTGTATGCTTGCAGCAATTGATGGGTGCTAGTCAATGTTTTGCATAAGTGTTTATAATTATGGTAATTTCGAGCACATCGTTTAAAATAAGAATGCTTGCTCTCAAATCGCAGTGTAAACACACGTATGAGAGGGCCATATCGTAGTATAAGCTGTGGGTAATGACACAAATAGTGATGTTTAGGTAAAAGTTTATTATCAGGAAACAGTTCCTTTCGTCCAGACAAATACTCGTGTATTAGTGTCTTTAGGTATGCAATATGTGCAAGATCAATCTTTGGTGAACAAACCAACTCCATAATTTGTTTTAATTTAAGATACAGTAACCACACAGAGTCCTCATAATTAGTTACATATGATCCAATAATTATGGAAAACAAACGCAAAAACACCCAGTTTTGTACTGCATGGCCACTTAGCTTCTTTGTGCACGATATTTTGTTAACTTCACATGGTTTGTCTTGTGCATCATTTTCTAAATACTTAAGTAGATTTATTCTTCTATTTAGGTTGTTATAAGAAAACCATCGCTTAGTAACAAAATACTTAATAAAAAGATACATATCTTGTGATACTAATCCTTCAAAACAGTCATGAGCTAGACATGGTGGCAAACCAGTGGAGACATGAAAATCACTAATATCATTAAAAGGTGACTGAAATTTGACGCCTTCAAAGTTGTTTAAACCACAGTTTGCTAGTTCAAGCAAGCTTCTATTATGTATTTCTTTTGTTCTTTCAGGGCCACAAAAGTGAGGATTTGTATCAAATTCGATACGTGTCACTAAGCAGTATCGACAAAAGTATTGAGCTGTGCTGAAATTTTCACAAAAACCTCCAATAGCATGTGATCCAAGATTATCACCCAGTATACATAGAAGCTTTATTGTTAATGTCAAGGTGTCAGAAATAGCAACACCAGACATTGAAATTTCCTGTAAATCAGACAATAAAGGAGCAAACACCTTCTTTAAGCCAAAAAACTTAAAATCAACATCTCGACACATAAGCACTAATTGTAGTTGATCGGATGTGTATCGTTTTTGGGACGGAATATTTGCTAATGTCAGATAAACAGCTAGTGTTTTATGTTTTTTCTTTCCTGAACCAATAGGATTTGTAACTTCAAAGGAATCTTGGAACAACATGAGGTATATTATCTTTTCACTAGATATTGCAATTGATTGCATTAGTGATCCACTAGAAATGTCTGTAAATACACCTGAAGTACTACTGTGTTTCAGCCAGAATCCAGTATTGTTGCTGTGTCTTGAGTACAGCATACATATCAAATCTTTTATTGAAACATATTGGGCTGTTCTAAATTTTTTATTATTATCATAGCCTAATGCAAATTCAACAGGCTTTATGTAAGCCATATTTTTATGGTAAAAGGTTTTCCTGCTTTTTACACTGCGCAAAACATGCAAAGAACTTTTTTTTTTATGTTCAATATTGATTAATTCTTTAAGAACATCATCTCTAACATAGGAAGACTTGACGTTGCAGATGATAGAGTATGCAACAAATACTCAGTACTGTAGTTATTAGCAACTTCAAGCTCATCTGCAATGCTTTGAATGCATGATACTGGTAGAATGTGTTTCACTTGTAATTTTAAAAAAAACATTGCTTGACATTGCACATAGTCTTCCAATGTAATGCTTTTACCTTTATATAAACTTTCTCTAGGGCACAACTCAGGTGGACTGTAATTTTCTAAAATTGCTGCATGGTTGTCATTATTAACACTATCTGGGATATCTGGAATGAATGTTAAATATATTGATTTTATATGTCGTGCATCCCAATTTTTATGCTTTCTTGTCCAGTGAGATGCTAATGAACTTCGATTATTAAGAACTGTATTGCATTTTACAAATGGACATACAATTTTATCATGTGAGTCACTATGAGTTTTTAGGTGAATAAGAAATTGAATTAATCCTTTACATACTTGTTTGCATAACGTAATGCCACATGTAAACAATATTTCACTGTCTTGAAATTTTGACCAAGCAAGTGTACTAACTGTTTGATTATTATGAGCAGTTTTTACATGTATTTTGAAAGAAGAGTAGCTTTTAAAATTTCTGTTGCAATTGTTGACACAAGGAAAATATATGTTTGCATCATGACGGTGGCATGAATAATGAGTAACATAAGCTAATAAAGATTTTGCTTGTAGACCACATATATGACACTTTAACTTTAAATTTTTATAACAACTTTCACGTGGAGTTAATTGTGCATAATTGACTTTAGAATAAACAGATAAACTATTTTTTTTACTAAATCCATTTATACTATCAATGTCAATAACTTCAATGTTTTAAGATGTTAATTCAAATCGAACTTCATTAGAATCTGTTAAATATCTACTGTACTGTTTTAAAAAAATGTACAAATCTGAAACAAACACAAATTTTATGACCACAGCAGTTCCTTCACTGGTCAAAAAACCATGACAGTCTCTACTATGTGAATCAAAAAGAAGAAGAAAATTATCAAATTTGAATATTGCAACAAAACTATCTTTTATACATAAAAGACATGTTGGAGACAGCTTAAATGCATCATCAAAAGCATGTTCAATTGATTTGGTACTGAATAAATTGACATCATTTTCTAATTGCAATAAATTACCAATTCCTATGTCAGTAATCTTGAGCATATTTTTTTTCCCAGAACAAATTACATGAGTTGGCAAATCACTTGGCAATAAATAATCTGTATTTATACCATTATCTCGAACATTTAGGTAAAGACTGTCTCCTTGCTTCAAAATATTATTTAGATCAATACTTTGTATACCATAATTCGTTTTTATTTTATTCATTGTATAACACAGAAATATAACTGAATTTGTTAAACATTGTTTTCCTCGTGAAAAATCTGAAAAACTAACATCACCTTGATGTAGAGCTGCAGAAATACAAGTATTTTTTGATAATTCTGTCCATATTGGTCCAGTAAAAACAGAAGGTAATGACATTTTATGATTAATACAACTTTACAGAAATTTAATACAATTAAATATTACCAATATTATGTATTCAATATTACCTTGTGCACCAACACAAGTTAAAATAGTTAATTGCACAAAAGCTCTTATATCAAAATTGGAATGCTTTTACTTATACTAATAACTTATTAAATAAGTTTATTATTAAATAAGTTAATAACTTAATTATAAAACACAAAATATTAAATATTACCGAATTAAAAATTAGTCTATAGATAACTAGAGTAATAATATTGAAATGCAATTATAATTTAATTACAGAGCTATTTTGTCATGTGATTCACATGCTGACATATTAAAATATGTAAAAAGTATGTATAGAAAATTAAAGATAACAAATTTCAATTTTAATAAAATAATAAACATGCTTATACTATAAGTGTCCACATTTATCGAATAGTAGAACTTTACGGTGATACCGTGATGGTGCAATAACGGTGTAATGTCGTAAACTTTACAGTATAATGCCGTGAAGACACTATTGGGGTAACATACCGTGAAAATGTCGGTAAAGTACCGTGAATTTCACGGTAAAGTTTTACAGCGCATGTAATATTAGCATAGTTAATAAAACAATGAGTTAAAGAAAAGTATTAAGAAATTTAGATTAACTGTATTTACATATGGAAGAACTCGGTACATCAGACTAATGATTTTACTAACTTTTGATTGTAAATATTTAATATGGAGAAGCCAAGATTTTTTTTTTGTTGTTGTTATTTTAATTACCCCAAGAAGACCTAACGGTCTTGTCACAGAGCACCGCGGAAGTGCATTTAACCAGGAAGTTCACGCCTCTTTCCTTACCGTGACGCGATAATTTATTACCAACAAGTATTCCTAAAAACTTTATATAGTCTTGCTTTTTTATCTATATGTTATTTAAAAATAGGTCTGGTAATTTAAGGGGAAGATTTTCTTTTTGCATTTTTTTATGAAATAAGGTTAACTTCGTTTTTTCAACGTTTAATGAGAGTTTATTCGTCTTAAAACAATCATTTATCTTATTTAGTTCAAGATTCATTTCTGCATAAAGTTGTTTGATACTATTGTTGGAAAGAAATAGGTTTGTATTATCAACAAACATAATTGGGTTTAACTTTACTGATGTATTATTTAAGTCATTTACATAAACTAAGAATAAGAGAGGACCAAGTATTGATCCTTGCGGTACTCCACACGGGATTTTAAGTATTCTGTATTCTTGATTTAAAACATATTGTTTTCTATCCGTGAGGTAACTTTTAATCCAATAGTAGACCTTATTAGTTTCTCAATAATGCTTCAACTTTTCTAACAATATAGAATGATCCACAGTGTCAAAAGCTTTTGAGAAATTAATAAATATACCTAAAATAAATTTGTTTTCGTTAAAGCCATTATTTATTTAATAAACTAATTCAGTACAAGCATGTTCAGTCGAATGATTTTTTTGAAATCCAAATTGTTCTGAATAAAATAAATTTTTGTTATTACCTATGCAAAGCCATGTGGCTTGAAAAGTTGTTTATAAATATTTTTAAGCTGAGGCCTAACACTTGAGCACCTTGAGCAGTTCTACAATTTTTTTTTCGTTTTAAGATACAACGCTTAAAAAACCGTTTTGCTGCTGTCAAAGTCATTTCTTGCTGACTTCCGTCTGAAGCCGTTAAAGTAAGTAGCTTTCGTCAACTGAAGCAACTGTATAAGATTTGTTGCTTGCAATATGACCAGTGTATTAATCATACCCTGTAAATTTTTGGTCATAATACCAATAACACTTTCTATCAAAGCCTTTTGAACCGTAGAAAGTACATGTTAAGCCAATTTCAAAATGACAAATTTTAAAATCTAGAAACAACATCTTGAAGGGATATTTACTTTTTAAAAACTACATTATAAGTCCTAGGAAAAGATTTTTTTTTAAATATAGATTTTATATAAAAAATTCTCCAAATTATAAAAAATTATTTCAAACAAAATAAGAACAGCTTTAAAAATGTTTCTCTTCAAACATAAAATAATAATAATAATTGGATTATATGAAGTTTAGAATATTAATTTAATATTCTAAACTTCATATAATCCAATTCAAAAGAATTTTTGATATTCATATTGATTCACAAACATTCTGTGACAAAAACTTCAAACTTTTTTGCTGCTGTAATCCAAAAAACAGTTCAAAAGTTGTTTTTGGGTAATCTGGATAAGAGCTATCACGATTATATCTCTCGCAATGGGTTTTAAAGTAAGAATTTATTGTCTCAGTTACCTGTTTGCTGAAGAGCCCAAGTGACATATGGTTCTTTTTGATGAATTGTGGCACATGAAAATAGATTGCATGAGCTTTTGGTGTAACTCAAATTTGCAATTGCACAGCTTTTTGCATATAGTTATTGCATGCAACAGCTAGAGCTATTGGATGAGCTTTTATTGTAATTGAAATTTGCAACTTTAGGTAACTTGTCTTGAATTTTTCAATTTTTAATTCAGATTCCAGATCCAAAACACAGCCAAAGCAAGCAGAGACAGCATCCTTGAACACTTATAAGCAGTTAAAAAAATCTAATGCTTGTTTTACATTCTCAGACTCGGCTGAATTTTTCAATCCATCTACTTTCCTCAAAAGCTTCATGCCGTCATTGTAATTGTAGTACCCCTCATGGTAAGGCAACAAAGGAATATGAAGTAAAGCAAGCCTATCAACTGTCTTTGGCCAAATCTGAGCAAGATATTTTACTATATGATTGACAACATCAATGAGCAAATGCAATTCCATTGGTGGAATCAATTCAAAAAACTTGTTTGGTCTTCAAAAGCAAAGATTGGAGAATGCACAATATTTTGGAATGATTTGGCACTTTTTGTGTTTTATACGCTTTTGTTGAAGTCCTAAAAATGTTTTTGATTTTTCTAAAGTTTCTCATCTCACCACACTCATAGAGTTTGCTAACTCAACTTCAAATCAACAACATGGGTGCTCGCTGGTATGTGATTGAATTCCACATATAATATATGCCTGAGATCACATGAAACAATCAAGGGGCTTAGTGAGAAAAATTTTTCTACTTGAATGAGATCAAAGTTTTTTTAAATATTTTCATGTTTCTGGAGTATTTTATGCAATTGCCACAATCAATTGCTTTTTAACACCAGTGCTTTAGAGGCCGTCTTGAGAACACAACTTAACAGACTTTTGAATAGGACTGTGAGGCTCAGATTTATCTAGTTTTTTGTCAAGCAAGGTCAAACTCACATTAAAAAAATGAGCCACCGACATCTATTCCGAGCTTAAAGATGAATACCTGATTAAAGCATCTTGAGAAGCCAACGATATTTAGTTAATATAAGTCATAGCAATTAACAACAAACTCTTGTCAGTTTCAGACAACTTGATGGTGCTCACTTTAAAATTTTCTTGTAAAATTTTCCCATAGTCTGCAAGCTTTTGTTAAAAATTTGCCTCTACTAGTCGAGTTGGGTTAATTTGATTGAAAGTAGATCAAAGTTTCTTCATGCCTTTGTTTGAAAGTCCTCTATTTTTTTGAATGGCAACCGTTTTTTGAGTGCCTAAAGTTATTTGAAAGAGTTCCTTAGATTCTGATGAGGTACCTAAAAATTGTTAACCATCAAGTAATGTGATTTTACAATTATTCCGAAAATTGTCTTTGTGTTTTATCTTTTCTCACAGCCAATCTTGGGCCATGAAGTTGATTAATTCAAATTGTTCCTCTTGGTGATGAATATATAGAGGAAATCACTGAGGACGCTATCTGCTCTACTCCATTAAGATCTGCCATTGCTAATGTTCTGAGGTTTTAATGACAAGTTCATTGAGTACAATGATGAGGTAGCTTGCGGGGAACTACTGAAAGGCAACTTGTACAACGTTTCTCTGTTGTTTGCGCTTGATGATTGGTTGCTTCTTCTTGTTTTTAAATTTGCATTGGATGCTTTTTTTTGACTTTTGTTTTTGCAAGTTGGCAAATTTAGTAATTACAAGTATTTGTTTGTGGAGTCAAAGCTGTTACTTAAATGGATTCAAAATTGAAACGTTTTGGCAGATTTTGCACTGATTCCTTGTCACCTGATTGATTTATCTTGAAACGACAAGGCATGAAAATTTCCATTGGAACTCTATCATTGTCAAAGTTGATATTTTTTGAAAAAGTTTCCAAAATCTTTTTCCTATAGTACTCTATCATTTTGCGGTCAGCTTTTTTCATTCAAATAAAGCAAACAGATTTCCTGCACTCGTTGTGATCTTTTGCAAACGTTTTTGAAATTTCGTTTTCTGTTCTACTGCCGAGAGATGAGCTCAATAAGTTAAGAGTGAATATTAATCTTCCTTTTCATCAATCAATTTAAATAGTGGTCCCCACGGGACCACAAAATTAGTTGTAGCAATCAAACTCCATATGGTAAAATTAAAATTGTGTTTAATCCACAATTTTAATTTTACCATATTTTTGCCTCTAAAAATATTAAGAATCATTTGTCAAACGGGTTTTGATGTAATGTTTTCTTGGTATTATGACCCCAAATTATCAGAGTGTGTGTCTCTAAATTATTAGAAGTTGTTTGTAAATGAACTTCCAATTCCAAAGTCATTAAAAGAAGCTGCTGATGTTTTGAACAACACTCGTCAACACCACTCCGGAGGCATATTGACAGGTTCTTTGAATGATGGAAAGGATATGACACTTCTTTTTGACCATTCTCTCGCCATTAGCAGAGCACAATCAAAAAAAACCTTACTTTGTGGATGACGCCTTTAGGTAATCTCCTACCCATGATATAAATTGTTGGCAATACTATAAATGTATGACAAAAGTAATAGTTACAACGAAAATAAATGGCTGAAATTGTACTTGACTTGATATTTTAAATGCAAAAACAAATGGTACCAACCAAATGGTACCAAATAGATTTTCTCAGTGGAATACTCACTAGCTTTAGAAGATCCTATTCCTAAAGATGATCAATTTGACTTTGATTCTAATGATCCTTTATATATATATATATATATATATATATATATATATATATATATATATATATATATATATATATATATATATATATATATATATATATATATATAATATATATATATATATATACAAACAAATTCACATATATATATATACAAACAAATTCACAAATTCATTGTTGCATTGTTTGAACATAAGATTATTTTGCCGTATGAAGAAAAAACAACATTATATAACTTACTATATGAAACATGTTTCATTATATAATTAATTAATAATTACATAACACTACTTCAAAGCATTAAAAGTGATATAATAATATAGTTAATTTTTTGATTCTTTTAAAATACTTGTATAGTTTAACTCTTGAATTTGTAAGTCTGAACATAACTCTGTTATATTTTCCACTACATTAAATTCAGTTTTTAATATGGATGCAGCTATTTCATTTTTTCTTTTCGGTTGAGTTGCACATTCGTATTCCAAGAAAAAGTTCATTCGTTTAAGTTTTTCAACATCTTGTTGAAAACTAGTACCACTATTCTTTATCTTTTTCCAAAATGTTTTGTTAAAATAATCATAAATTGCAACGTCCATTTTATTCCAATTTAAAGCTCGTGATTTTGTTTTTTCAAGATTGTTTGTACTGACGTCTTTGGTCAATCTTGCGTTATGAATAAAAAAGGCGATATCCTTCAAATCCCAACATAGTTCGTTTTTTAACAAAACCAACGACTCTTCCATATATTCTGTAATCATTACTAGATTAAAATCTTTTTCAATTGATTTCAAAACTGTTTCAATATATTCGGTAGTGTCGTTCCAGGGATCAAATCCTAGGTCGAAGGCGTTTGGGTTTTTTGTTAAATTAAAAGCGCCATATGGGTCCGTTTTTTGAGATTTTATAGTTTTTTTCAAATCATTGTCCGAAAAGTTAAAAAGTTGATCAAGAATAGGTGACGTTCCATTAAGTTTGTAGCAATGCTTAAATTTAAATGCTTGCGCTGCTGATTCCAACTGTGAAAATGGTTCCCGCAAAATTGTTACGAATTTTGTTTGCCAATTGTCTATAATTTCTAAAATGTTTTGTTTATGAAAAACAGCGTGATGAAATAACATGTTGTAAGTATTTTTTTCTTTATGATGGTAAATAGCGCTTTTGTTAAACTTGATTGGCCAACAAAGCCTGTGTTCGCAGTCTGGTAAAACCACTTTTAAATTCTTTGATTTTGAATATCTATACATTATATTTGCAACTGTTGTTGAACCCGTTTTATGTGTTTTAAGAAAAACTACGTTATTCACTGGTGTACACATAGGTCTCTCACTATAACAAAAAAATTTAACTTATTAAAAAAGTTATACGAACTATTTATTTTTCTTTAACAATAAAATTAGGAAAAAATATTTTGTTACAAATAAAGGGTGTGGTGAAAAACAACTTTTTTGGTAAGTCACTATATAATTTTTAAGTAGTTTTTACAAAATAAGGAATCGGGTTAACAAGCGATGTTGTGATAATCTACGTTTGTTTAACAGTAGCGTAACAGAGCAACGCAAATGTATTTTTATAACCTAGTTTAAAACTTATTGTTTAATTTATTTAGTTAATTAATTTACATTTTATACAACCCAGGGACATGATGGACTACTAAGAGGGTACTAAGACTTGTACTGGGCCGTGATTCTGGGTCAGGAAACTGGGTACCCAATCCTTAAAGAGAAAAAATTTGTTTCATCCAACATTTTATTTAACTTGCTTTCATGTCGGTATGTTTGTTTGTTTGTTTGGTGCCCGCACAAAACAAATTTAAGGTCACCGGTTGAGATAAAAGAAATACGCTAAACTTTAGTTTAGCGTAAATAAAAGAAATCGTTAAGAAAAGTAATTAAAAAAACAAAAAACAAACAAACTTTTTTAAGGGTGAAATAAAATCGCTGTTGAATATTAATAACAAAAAACGTTGTTGACCTAAAATTGATAGATTTTATACGGTAAAAAAGTAAATAATGCTTTAATACTTTACTTATAAATAGTAATTCAAAATAATGAATAAAGTTTTTAAATTAAAAAAACTAAAAAAATATATGCTATCAACGTAGAAATATAAAGAAGGAACCTAAATATAAAAAAGAAAGCTGGAAACTGAAGTTGATCGATTAGCTTGTCTTGCTCGAGAAAGAGAACGGAAATTTTGAGCTAGAGCAAATGAATCAGCTCAACAACGAACATCTCGGCTAAAAAAACGAATAGAACGATATGTTAAGGAAAGGGCGGCTAAAACAGAAGATGGTAGAGGCAGACGTATTGCTAAACAAAAAGAATACCAAAAACAAGCTTTGTAGTAACGAACGATTAGCCGATGTCTTCTTTTTATTTGATGAAATTAACCATTCTATCAACAGAAAAATAAGAAAATTGTTATTGAAAAGTGCGAAACAATAAATATATAAAATGCATAAATTCATTTGCTTTGGATTGATAAATATGGTTAACATATGTTTGAAAAATAAAATTGTATGTTACTCCCTATCGGTCCATGGAATTTATTAATAGTACTACTTTTAATTTTTAATTTATTTTAATTTCAATTTCAATTTTTAATTTATTTTAATTTAAAAATTGGATTTTACATATTTTCTACTACTTAACATGGATATATATATTTTATACTATTTAAAACATGGAATTCATAATTAGTACTACCGTGGAACAATAGTAGTTTTAACTCAAACAAAAGAAACCAATACCCTGGTTTTTATTATAAGACATATTTTTTGTTTTATATTTATTTATATTTTAGGTGAAATGAAGGAAACTAAAAAGAAAGAGGCAACATATAAATACAAACTTTTTTTGGTGCTCAAAAAAAGCTTCAAAACGACAATATGAATTGAAAGCAGCTCCTAATGATCCAAAACAATTAAAGTTAACGGCAGGTCTCGCGTCAGTGCAGGTGCCACAAATACAAAAAAAAGCTGGGACATTCTTTTGGGATTAGTGGTTAATCATCTGTACCAGAAATAGACAATAATCAAAATGTCATAATTGCAGCAGATAAAGGACAGAAGTACAATATTCAGAAGCATTCAGAAACCGAAACATTACTGAAACTGAGCGAGTGACTGTATAAATGCTTAATTATGAAGTGCCTGTAACTGAAGAGGCGGAACTAACTCTAGCATAAAAAATTAATCAGAAGCAACTAGACAACGTTTTAAATATCAATAAAAATAATTCAGCTAAATTTCTAGAGCTGAAAACTGCAAAGATGATTGATAAAATGCAATTTACTGTATTAGAGCCATATCAGCAAACAAAACATTCAAGGTTATCTAAGTATTACACTGAATCAGTTAAAGTTAATGATATTGAAGTTGTATAAAAAAGGGCATGGCTAACCTACCATCTACTATTTAAAAATTTTTTGACATTGTATGCTTATGCTTTGAATCAAGAGAGGACATAAATTCTTTACTTAATGGGTTTGATAATTGGTCAAAAGTAAGTCACATCATAACAAAGCATTGCACCCAGAACCATCAAAATGATGCTGAAGCTATGGCTCATGTATTATCAGACTCCACAATTGATAAAATATTAAATATTGAAGCCATAAGACATCTAAAAAAAAAACAAACGTAAAGAAGCGGTGAAACTACATCAATACCTAATACGAGTTATTGATGCTATTCGGTATTTGATTGCAGAGAGTATTTCTTCACGTGGAAATGAGGAAGCCAACTTTTACAATATCTTTGAAAAAAGTGAAGTCTTTCAATGTGGTGCGAATAAATTTCTAAATTTGTTAAATTTACTCAGTTAGTATGATGAGGTGCTGAATGAAAAACTTTTAAATACTTGCAGTAGTCAAAATTAATCTGCTGAAAGGGGTGCTACAATTACCTTTCTTTCTAATTGTAAACAAAACAAGCTAACTCATACTATGACTCAGATAGTCAAGAAGGATATTTCAGAAGAGGTAAATAATTCAGTTTTCTTTTCACTATTAGTTGATGAAATCGCTGATATTACGCTATGTGAACAAACTTCTATTGTATTACGTTATGTTACGTTTGCTGCAGAAGAGACCGTTTTACAGGAACATCTGATTTCAATGGTTTAAGCTGAAACAACTAATGGTGAAGGAATAAGTGAAAAAATCAAAGATGAACTCAAATCAAATAGCGTAGATATTCAAAAGTGTGCGGGTAAGTCTTTTGATGGTGCGAGCAATATGCAAGGAATAAACAAAGGAGTTGCAACACATTTGAAGCAGTGTTCTTTAATGGCAATAAATATTTATTGTGGATCTCATGGAACAAATCTGGTTATAAAAGCTTATGGTAAATTCTTCTGTTGTTTCTGTTATGCTTTTTTGGACAGAAAACAATCTTGGTGATGTGCAAAAATTTAAGACTTTTCTATACGGAAACTTAAGGAAACGAACTATTTGAGAAAAGAAAATCTTTTCTTAAGGATGTAAACCAGTTTCTTGATCTGGCTACTACCCACAGTGTTTGTTTCAGTGCCTTACAAAATGCTGCTGACCGACTGCTGACAATATACCCTACTGTAATTTATTGCCTCGAACAAATTTCAAATGATAGGAATTTAAAATGAATATTCAAAGTGAAGCACGAGGTCTTTTATTCCAATTTGAGTCTTATGAAACAATTGTGACTTTCTTTCTCTTCAAAGAAATGTTTATTACCTTGGGTCCCCTAAATAAAAATCATCAAGGAGAAAGTCTTGATTTTTCCATTGTTATAATGTCTGTCAATGTATCACTGGAAAAACTTTAAGTACTAACGGACAGGGCTGACCTAAATGCAATTATCTGCTGTTAAAATTGCAACTGAAGCTCAGCTGGAACAGCAAACATTTGTTAGGAAAAGAACTTGCAGAAAAAAAGAACGTACTTCTATGAAATAGAAGATGAGCAACTCAGGCTAAAGATCAGTAACTAGCAGAAGTGTTTTATACTATAGTTGATTCAGCAATTGCAGTTCTTGTTGACAAAAGTTAAGATATTAGTCAAAATTTTCATAACTCTAATTCACAAGAAAAAATGCAATCAATGCTTGAAAAATTCAAAATTGGTATCAGTTTAAATGAATACACTACTGATGTGGTTGATTTTGAGGAGATCTACAGAAAGGTTGTTGAGAACAAAACTTTTCCTTCTTTCCTAACCATTTACAGTTTTATGCTGAAGACTATATTAGATGCTGTATTTCCCTCTGTTGTAGTTCTATACAAGATATTCAGTAAAATTACAACAAAGTTAAGCAAAATGAGAGAGTTTTCAGCAAACCGAAACTTTTCAAAACTCGTCCAGCAAATCGATTGACATCAGAGCATGTTGAGGATTGCGTTCTCTTATCAACGGAACATGAAAAATTTCTATGTTGTGGAAATTGATACATTCGGACATAATAAAAAAAACTATGCTAATAAAAAGGAGTTACGTGATATTTTGTATCCATAAAAACTTTTTTTAGTATAAATAATTTTCCTTGATCGCTTACAGTAGCGTCCAAAAGTTTGCGGACAGGCAAAATAAAAAAGATATTTTACAAATATATTAGCCCATACTTTACTAAAGTAAACACATTATATACCAATCAAAAGCTTTTCAAGTTTACAATTATGTTTTGAACAAATAATGATTATCTAGTTAACATTTTAAAATTGGTATACAAATCAACGATTTTCAATAAGTTTAAAAACTTGACGACAATGCGTTTTTTTTTTCTTCTAAAATATATTTAAATTTTTCAACAATATTTGATCACAAATTTATATAAAAGCAAAATGACATAAGTATTTTGAAGGATCCTTTACAATAAGGATTGACACGACATCTATTAGGCATATAGTCAGCTAAATGAACACAAAAGTCAATGCAAATTGAGTACCATATTTCTTTGACTTTATTAAATAAACCAGCATAGTTTATGGACTTATTTTATTTTATTTGTTGAACAACATGTTCCTATAGATGTTCAATTGAAGATGTTCCACTTTAGATAGTCTGATGCAAATTCCTTTCGGACGTTACGGTTTTTTAAGGAACTTATGACTTTTTAGCTGGGCTAAAATTCCAAATAAATTAGCGTAGCGTAAACAACGTGTTACAGTAGAAATACTACAATTCCAATCCATAGAAATTTCTCATTTGTACGTTTATATCGACAGCAGTCAAACGGGGATTTTCTTTGCTTAGTATTATAAGCTTTTTATCCCGATAATGCGCTGTTTTGCGTAGCTTTCAAGATTTTATTCTTTGCGGACCTAGTAAGCTCATATCTCTTCATAATTTG